TAATTTTTTTTCAGACGGGGGAGGGGCAAAGAAGTTTTCCTATGCAAACAATTTCGTTTTCTTGTTGATGTTGCAAGCAATGCATTTAACGGTTCATTACATGGCCACTGCAACTATTTAATTAGGATTTTCCATAATGATATAAACATACACAAGACCTTTTCATGTCTTTTGTTTCAAATATTTAATACAGTAATTCACTCAATTGCTTTCGCTCAAAATACATTTTTCTTTCAAGTTAAAATGGGACAACTTTCTGTTTTTCTCCTTAGCGCACTCAGCTATTGCTCAACTCAGTGGGCAGTGGAAAATAGCTAAGAGTTCGTAACCACACCCTATTCACTCCCCCTAGTCCCCTACTCCACCCTCGTGCTAACTTTGAATTTCAGGTGAGTGAAAACAAACTGTACTTGGGGTAAAGGACAGCCCATTCCATTTTTTTATGAAAAGAGGGGGGGGGGTACTGGAAGATTTTGAAAACAAAATTGCCCGGGCGCAAGCCGGAAAACAAATGTCCTGCAGAGCGAAAACTTATATAAATCCCCTGCAGCATGTTAGTGTGATGGATTCTAAGAATAAAGTCTATATGACAGAGCTTTTGTGGCATGATATATCTTTGTTACAAGTTAGCAAGGGAACTAAATCTTGGACTTTATTGCTTTGAGGGTCCTGACTGCATGGCCACCAACTAGCCGCTGAAGCGAGCAATTTCTCTCCATCTTCCAATTTTTCAACCGATGACGCAGAGCAAATGACTCAATTTCGGCAGAAGTAAACACATGCGTCCTAATTACTCGGGTGCCGAATTCTAGATAATGTTTCATTTTTTTTGTTTTTGTTTTTTTTGACAAAGTGAGCGCTCAAGGTTATACAATACATTTCAAAAGACCTAAACTCCTTTTCCTGCACATATCTTTGTAAAGTTGTATAGATTTTAATCCAGTGGAGTTTGTCCGCGTAACAAGGTTTGCCAAATTTAAGAAAAAGTTGGGAGCCTTGCACGTGCTAGCTTCGCTCATCAGGCGAGCGATCGAAAAGTTCGAATTTAAAAGACAACAGCTCGAATGCCATGAGAATTCTATATTAAGAACTTTTTTAGAGGTAAACAAACCGTTTGCCACAGTTCTATTTGCATTTGGTAATTATCTGTTTTAAACTTAGATCTCTCGATGGCAACTCTCAAAACAGTTTTCTGTGCTCTATCCTCATAGGAAAAGAAACATGTCTTGTGCGAACCCAAAAGGAAATCATTTTCAGTTTCCAAAGGGATATTTTTTGAGAAACATAAAAAAGCGTGCGTCTACTTCTGCATCAAAACGTATCTTGTTGAGAATAATTCCTAAAAAGTTAGATGCGCCACGAAGCGGACCTGTTTGCGTGTTCACCTGCCATGGGCAAATTGGTAAATACAATTAATGCAAAATTAATTAGAAAAAACTCACTTTGTGGCCAGTAACTTTGCCTGCGAATGCAGACGTATTTCCAGCTGTCACTTGGTTCTGCTGAAAATTAACGTCTGCGAACCCAAGCCAGAAAACGATTTCTGTGACGTAGGAATTCTAAGCCAATCACAGTTTAGTTCAAATAACCCCAGAACTACTGCGCGAGGTATTCGCTGCGAGGAGCACTCGAGTTTCATTCTATCATGGAATCTGATTGGCCAAGGAGAAACAAAAGTCATTATGTCACAAAAATCGTTTCCTGGCTTGGGTTCGCAGATGTTATTTTTCGGTGGAACCAGGTGACAGCCGGAAATATGTCTACATTCGCAGGCTACCAGTAACTAGCCCTTTTTCAGACATATATTACTATTCCCTTTTATCTAGCTTTAGGAAATCATTAGCAATGGAACTGCCCAGGCGTTTGACTTTTGGAGCTAGAACTAGATAGGATTTCTAGTTTGTTGCACAGTCACTAGAAAATGGGAAAAGTAAATGTGTTGCATGTACATACACTGCTTCAAAGTATTGCATACAAAGCACTCTCCTTTGAAATAGGCTTGTGAGTACAAATAAAAAAGTTACAAAAAACCAAAAGGAAAACATAGTATGCTAGTAAGGAAGAAAATGAAGAAATGAGCAAGAGCACAACAAAAATATCCACACGGATGTATTTGCGGCACGTGATCATTTAGATGTAAACATTGCGTGACATCAATCTGGGTCTATTTTTCAGTTCAATTAGTTCCTTCACTTCTTGCCTCTTTTCATTAGAAATATTCAATACAAAACTCAATAGATACCCAGAGGATGCTTTATATGCAAGACATGGATCCAAGTCCTGCGAAAATATTGCACAAGCCAGAGAAAGGTGACACTTAGAAAATGCTGTAGCCGCATGAAAAGGCTGGTGGCTGAGCACGGCAGCGCCGCAAGACACAGGAAATTACATGGCAAAGAACATCACAATTATTTGCCTTCAACACCCATTTGGAAGGTAAGCTGTCATCAAAGTATTATCTTAGGTTTACTGGGTAGTTTTAATGGAAAATGGCAGGGTTTCTCAATGGTTTGCTCAGAAAGCGATCTAAGGCTAGTCGAATTGTTTACATTTCGTGATTAAACAAAATCTATTCGAAAGGTCAAATTGGGTCAACTTGCATGGGGCCGCTCGCCTCAAAAATAACTTTTGCCATGAAAAAAATTATAATTATCACGTTCAAAAACGGCTCTTGTACTTGCTAGAATTGAATTTTGAAAGAATTCTACAGTACCAGACAGAAGTAACCTAACAGAAAAATCACGACGGAACGCGTTCTTGGAACGTTCCAATTAGCATTCCTTTGGCGTTCCCTTGGCATTCCCTTGATATTCAGGAACGCAAAATAGAATGCATTCTAAAGAAAATTCAGAACACGAAGGAACGCAGGAGTGCGTTCTGAATTTTCTTTAGAATTTTCAGTAGAACGCGTTCTCGTTTATTCTGCCCTGAAGATTAGCTTTTCGTAAAATGGGCAAGTTATCACTTTATGTGAGAAAATGAATAGTTAACTTGCATTTGCTGGGCATAAACATCAGCCAAATAGTCCAGAAATTGACTGAAGAGGACGGTATAATCACGTTGAGACCGGCCGTAAGTCTTTTTCTTTCGAGGTTTAAACGAACAGGAATTCAAAGTCTTTACAACCGCCCATGCAAAGGACAAAATCCAAAACTTGGCATTCGACAATTTGATGTAACCGACGAAGAAATGAAGAAAAACGATGAACTTTCCTCAGTAGAACTTCAAAGAATTTTGTTAGCACGCTGTAACATCACAGTCTCTGCACGAACCATAAGGCGAGTGTGAAGAAGACGTGGATGGACGTGGAGTGGGACCAAGTACTGCCAACTGATCAAAGATGTCAACAAGCCGAAACACATGGAACATTGCTTGAAAATTCTAGCCGACGGAGATGACTTCAGCAATGTTATCTTTCCAGACGAATGTTCTGTGAAGATTGAACGTTCCACTCACCGCTGTTTTCATAAAGTTGGAGAGCCACATCGCACAAAGGGTCAACCAAAACATCCCTTGAAGGTAGGTGGTACCGGTTGGTTTTACACAGTCCCCCCCCCCCCCACTGAATCTCCTACCCAGTCCAAACTCATCTGTTTAGTTTCCACCTTATGACGAATACTCACGTTGTAGTTTGTGAATATCATAGCTTGGTGTAAAAGCTGCGGCTGAAAAGAGGACAAATTCGATTCTTCACTGTAATATAATTAACCGGTACTGTACATAATACTGAGTATGCCTTGAGATGTTTGAAAACGGTATGGAATTTTGGATTTTCAAAGTCTAGAAACTCCGGTTCTCTTCCCTTGCTCTCCAGGAATTCGGAATTACAATTGTAAGTCTAAAATATCATCAAAGCAGCTTAGCAATACATTGTACCTCCTAAATAAAATTATAAACTAAGGAAAACCATAATTTGCTATGCGCCTTCACGCAAGTTCGAGTATCTGATCGTGAAATTTGACCACATGTCTGTGATTTTTCAGCTTCACGGGTTGTTGACAGTTTTTCGTAATTTTCTCAAAAATGTAAAAACTCTTGTGCCTAAAACTTATATCACGATTCTCAGCATACCATAGGTTATCTCTGGACGAAATATCAAAGGGTCCATTTTCCCGACCTTGTGCTGCCCCTCACCCGGTGGTTAGGGAGAGTGGCTCTTAAACTTTATGAGGATAATTTGTACACCACAACTGTGTAATAAAAAATACAGGTCACCATGCTCAGTTTGCAGTGGTACTTAGCTTGAAGGAAATCTCTTATGTTCTGTGTGGTCATGGGCGCACACTAATGACATGAAAATCCTTCACAATAAGGATGCGCCAGGCAATTCTGAGGGATCATCTTGAGAAGCAAATCGTTTGATTCGAGTCAAATGGCGTCAAATCAAGAACACTTTTGACCTTCCCCCCAATCTACTTCCAGTATGAGAGGGTAGACCACTTCCTTAGATAAATTGACTCAATTTGGGTGTATTGGACAACCGTCCCAAAACCTCTGCCTGATTGTCTGGGACAAGTAGAAATTGAAGTCATACATTGTCAAGTAACATGGCTTGTCTAATTTAGGAACAAGTGCATTTCTGGTTGCCAAAAATACAAATTAAAGTAACAAAATATTTTGGCCACAGGAAAACAATTGTTCGAAAAAGGATTGAGAACTTACTTGACAAAGGAAACTTGGCAAATTTTGCAAATTTCACCATTTTACCAACATGTTTTATTTCCATACACAATACTTGGAAAAAAGATTGTCAAAAGTCAAACTTCCTTTGCTCTTGTTTTATTTCTATGTATTTTTTTCTAAAAAATACTTTGGACAAGCACTTTTTGGTTCCAGACAATTGACCAACTACTCTCTAATAGTTGCCTGAAGGAATTCTTCTTGCAAAGACTCATTATTACTGTACTTTGTTCTAAAATCATTATTAATGGTATTAAGTGTTTATATCATTTCCAACTGTAAAACTGACACAAGGTATAACAGGAAGTGCTTTTACTTACCACCAACCAATTTTCCTGTTGCATTTTTGGCACGCACAAGCCCTAAAATTGAAATCAGAATTTATTCAAGAATGGTTTTCCCATTCATGCAAAGTAAAATAGTAAAGTCTACATACGAGCCAAGTGGCTCATCAGGCCGGAGCTCATCCTGGCTTCTGTACCATGAAGCAACTAGGAGTATTTCTAATTCCCCCTGGATGGGATGCTAGTCCGTCACAGGGTTATCCCCAGCATTAAATTCACTGCAGGTACCCTGATTTATACACCTGGGTGGAGAGAGGCAATGTGAGAGTCAAGTGTCTTGCCCAAGAACACAACACAACGTCCCCGACCATTCATGTTTACACTTATAATTGTGATTATATGTACAAACTCGAAATATAACAATGTGGTGTTAACTGTATTTGTAAGTGCCTAACATGCAGGAGCTCTTGCCAAATTGCCTGTGAACAGGACTCCGCTGCGGTGACCAGTAGGCTTGCCACTCGCTGTGCAGGTAGATTGCTTTCTCGCAGATAGACTTCACCTTTACCACTTTCTTCCTCTCAAAGGCTCAGTGTTTCTACAGTGGAGTTAATCACAAAACCTAGGAATGCTATTATTTGGGTTGGGATTAAATCCCAGGGGGTACTCCTAAAAATTTCAGATAGGTGTGTGCCGCAAAGGGTCTTGAACCCTGACCCCATTTACATGTAGGGATGGAGAAAATGAATTGATATCCTATTTAAGGCCCAAATCCAAATGACACCCTATTAAAGGGAAAAACAAAAACTAAGAATGGTGTGAATGGGTCAACTAGATATAATTATTATAATTATATAGCTCCATCGAAATCCAATATTGCCAACAGACCTATTTTTTATTAATTTTTGCAAGCTGTCCAAATTTAAAATAAATTGGATAGTTTTTGCTTGAACGTTTAGTTTAGCGTTGAACAAACTGTCCAATTTGAGAAAAATCTGGATACTTTTCATCAACCGATGAAATGTCAAGATAAATAAAAGAACCGAGTATTGGCCAATCAGGTTGCAGCTATTATCATTGCCATCAAACGTCACCGAGCGATTGTAGCTCGCTAAGTTTTCTTATGTTAATGGCGGAATTTCCCAACTTTTCTCTCCACCTTTTTGACATCTAGACTTTCAAATGGAGTCTTTGGCTAGGTCTCCAGAGATAGATGCTACTGATTTACTCGAGATGAGGGAGAATAATCAGAACAAGAACACTCAAAGAAGCTAAAAACCTGTGTTATAGTGTTTGACCTGTGACGTGCTGAGCAAAGCGAAGTGAGAAATACTGTACTTTAGAGGATAAAATATTTGCCTTGTTCATCTTGTTCATCTCGAACCGCCAAATTGGACTCGGCCTACGGTCTTGTCCAATTTTGGCTGTCCTCAGAATTTTTTTCATCCAATTATTTCCAAATTGGACAGCATGTAGTCCTATTACATATACTAATTAAACACCGGAAGTAGTGGATAGTGCAGTTTTAACAGATCATTAACAACTGCATCGCTAAAATGGAGGTTGAGTGCCTGAGACATCCAGGAGCTTCCACTATTGACAGCCAGCTCCTAGAGGAAGATTGCTCCCATGGCTGGCAAATCCTGGCAACCCAGCCATGAACCCCCACATAGTAAGAGGAACAGGCACCTGTCACAGTGTTGAAACAGTAGAAAGAGGGAGGGAGAGGGGGTGGGAGGGGAACTACCTGGGCAATGAACTGCCACACTACAAAAAACACCAGAAAACGCCTCCTGTACCTATGCCACGCTACAATCCACGAGCATGTGGAATTCCGACATATGTGCCTATGTGTCGACACCGCTAACTACCAGGGGAACGCAAGCACTCTTTGTTGTTAACTCTGTTAAATTACATTTAACTGCATTTAGTTTTCCATTTAGCTGGGCATTTACACACTGCAATTTTTTTGATATATTTAGGTACCACATGACCTAAGCATCACACCAGAAACAAAATGCAAACAGGGGACAATAAGGATCCTGAACCTCATAAACATAACCCTATCCCATGGCACATACATGTACCTATAGAGCCCATATATAGGAGTACCACTCAGGGATTAAATACAAATTTTCCCGAGCCTAGGTCTTCCAAGAGGGTTACAGCAATAGCTAATGTTCCTCTGGTGACATGAGCATAAGATGACAAAATTGATCACATGGACAGGGGCCCGTTTAACTTGTGTAGGTACAGTACGCTGCTACCAGTTTTAAAAGTTTGGTGAAAACTCTCAGAGCAGTATTTAAGCCAAATAGAGGTCTTGAAAGGCGTAACATTTGTTTCTCCAGAGAAATTGTAAAGTTGGAACTTAATTCTTACCAGAGACCTTGTGGATCGTAACTGTACTGACAGGTATGCATCTTTCAAGTCTAGGATGGTCATATAGTCACATCTTTGAAGGGGGGACTTTAATTAGGCAAGTCAAGATGTTTTCCTTCTCAAAATGTGAATTCTCTATGAACCTGTTCAGAAACCATACTTCTAATACCAGAGGGAAGATTCTACCCTTTTTGGTGAGTAGGAATAGACAACTGAAGAAGCCATCTCTTATGAGGGAGACCTGTGCTATGACTCATTTTGGCAAGGAGGTTCTCCACCTCTGCATCTTTTAGGTGAGCATTCACTTAAAAGGGGCTTGTAATTGGCAAGCAAAACAAGTATCTTGTATCTCAAGTATCAACAACAACAGAATATTGAGAATTGTCAGCCAGGCCGATGACTTATCTTTATTTATTGCCACAAAAATTGTCTTTCTCCTCAAGGCTAAGAATCAGCTGCATTTGCAGAGCCTAACATACAGAGTGACCTTGTTCCAAAATTGCCTCCATTGATGTTCTCTTTGGGAAAATCCCTGTTAGATCATTGTGCAAACAACAAAAGGCTCCGGTTATGTTGAGCTTGGCCTTCTGCAAAGACTGGTGAGCTTCTTATCAAACTCTTGTGCATACTTTTGAGGGGGAAAAACAGTATTTTTTACTGGTTAAGGATGGAGTGGTCCAAGGTTTGAGAAAACACATTCTGCAGTCATGAATGGAACGATTATCCAGGATATCACTTACATCGTAGTAAGAATTGGCTTCTGATGTAGGTTTCTTTGCAAGAAAGTGGTAATGGCTCATTAGCCACAGTTGGTGGCTTGCAGAAGCCGAAATTGAACCCTCTTGGTTGTACACAAGGTCTATGTTGGAGTACGTCAGCAGTGTCAGATAGCGTGTCTGATTTATGAGGTGGGAAAGTCAGCAGGCTTTGTTGCCAATAATATTCCAGCAATACTATTAACTTTTTGTTCATTCATGCTAAACCTCTTGTAAGGTTTTAAAATAGTGGACAGAGACATCTGGTCTTCAACAGTAGTTCTTGGTCCAGATGATGTTCATATAAAATATTTCGATTGCCAACAATCGCTGACAACTGCCAGCTTGCCTGCTAAGTTGAAATCAGCTCAACTTTACAGGCAAGCCAGCGGTCAATGCCTGGGACAGATTACGATTTGACATAAACATTCGCATATGCCATAACGGTGTTCCAGGCTGTGCTGGCAGCTATGTCCCAGGTATGTCGGCGGCATTTGAGAACCAGGTTTAAATCTATATATTATGGTTAATTGTATCATGTGTAACTTGTTTCCTACATGGGGGATATGGGCTCTTTTTAGATGTATTTTAGAGCGGTTCATAGCACAAAAACTGGGATTTTACCTGAGGTTCTCTCATAAATATATTTTCCAAAAGAGTTTAATATGTAACATAATTTTAGACTGATCTGTAAACAAGTTTAAAGTGGCTCCATACATTGAGTAATCATTTATGGTGTGCATGCTAACTACATGTAATGTGCAGTCATGATTATTTAGAAACAAGCTTTGCATTCATTTTCACTTAATAATTAACAAAAGACTCAATTTTGGAATATTTAATATGCATTGCTATCAAACACAATGAGTACCAGAAAAATCTCTGGGAAGTGGGAAAGAGACAGTTTCAAAGTACTTTCAAAGGACCACTACCCTGTGAGAGAGTTCATATGCTCCCTCACCCACCCCTACGTAAGTTAACAGATTTCAGTCACGGTCTTTTAGTAAATTGTCACTTCATGTGTCAAACTGACAAACATATTGGCAACTGAAGCACACATTTTCAATCAAAAACTAGCATTTTTCTTACTTGAAGTACCTTTCCCAATATTCTAACCTTAATAGTCCTCCGTCCCATGGACTTCGCACTAACTTTGGGGGTCATTGAGCTCGTTTTTGAGTTATAAGCACTTAAAGTTAATTATAAGCACTAAAATTAAGGGGGTCTCTAGCAGGTTGTACAGTTGTTATGGTAACCTATTATATTGCTATAAAGATTACCGGTAGATTATCAATTTAAGTGCCCCTATGATCAAATTCTCAATATCCAATTTTCTACATTTTCGTCCTAGATATCTTGCCAAATTTCAGTCTATTACAAACATTAGAACTCATAGTTTTTGGACCTTTATTTCAAGAATTTACATGCACAGCTGCCATTAATTTTCCTTGTTCCAAGGCTTGGTTGAGAATTGGAGTAAATGACATCATTTACTCAAAAATATGACATGGGTTGAAATTATAATGACAATTTAAGTACAGCAATTCGCATAAAGAGTGACAAAAACTTTGACTCTTACATGTATATTCGTACAATTTTCTACACTAAAAATAATTGTTATTATAATTTCAACCTGCGCTGTATTTTTGAGTAAATGACGTCATTTGTTCCAATTCTCAACCAAGCCCTGGAACAACGAAAGTTAATGGCAGCCGTAAATTCTCGGAAATAAAGGTCCAAAAAAGGTGAGTTTTAATGTTCGTAATAGATTGAAATTTGGTAAGATACATGTAAATAGGAAAGACCTATTGTGTACAAAAAGGTAATAAAATGGATATCAAGAATTTGATCATAGCCCTGGGCACCTTAAGGTCGCACAACTTAACAGTAATATTTCCATGAGACACCTGGGCTCTAATGCACACTTCAGCGTGAGGCATC